TGTTACAAAAAGCAAATTAATTAAACACTCATATTAATTGTTTAAGATCAAGTCAAACACTAATAGTGGTCATCAAATTTGGGTGATAGGTTAATTATTTTACCAAATAAGGCATTTGAGTAGCTTTTTGAATTTTTAGCATTTTTGAGCAATAAGTTGTTACAAAAAGCTAATTAATTAAGCACTTATATATATATATATATATATATATATATATATATATATATATATATATATATATATATATATATTGATTGTTTAACTAAGTCAAATAGTTAATAGTGATTGAATAAGTCAAAATTGACTGATAAGCTAACTATGTTATCAAAAGTATTAAAATCTTAATTCTTAAATGGCTTTGGCCTATTCTAAGCTATCCACACCCATTAAAGGTTGCAATTCTACTTGTGAAATGGGTATGGTGGGTTTGAACTTTGAGCTAGCATGGAGCCTATCTTTTTGTTTGGAATTATGCATTTTTAAAATTAGGTAGGTTGCTTTTGGGCGCATTAGGGTTCTGGGAATTGTAGGGTTGAAATGTATGGTTTACAGCCTTAGCAAGTCGTCATTGGATTCCAAGAAGCATTAAGGTAGTGAAGCCTGCACTTTCTTTGTAATCATTATCATGAAATTTTTTCTATATATGTTACACCTATCTACTTTTTTATTTTATTTTATTTTATTGGTAACGTAAAAAATTCATTATCATCATTAGAAGGGTATGTACTGACAAACATCACTCTTGTGTAATAACCTAAAGTAGCTAAAAAGATACATAGATCTTGTGCAGCGAGCTCGACTTTAAGTGTGTTCGCGACTTTCTGATACTAGAATTATTTTCCACTCACTCGACCACTTCTTTTGAAAGTTTTTTTTTTTTTTTTCCTCTTAACCCTAATTTACTTTGCCAAAAACAAAAGTATGGATACTTTAAGAAAAATATTTTATATATAAAAACTTTTCCAGTATAAAGACAATTGCACAACAATGACAACTACATTGCATACCTCCATAACTAATCAACACCATAAGTCCAAAATTCCCACCACCAACCGTGCCACTGCAACACTTAATGTCAGAGATTGCACAACTACGTACAAAGGCCACAATGGACAATAGTACATTGCATGTCACCCATGAAAAATACACATAAGTCAATCACAAAAATTAAAAATATTACACTCAAATGATAGACAATTAAAAAACACATAAACTAACCTGAATCCATGACTGAAGAAAAGAACCGCATAAGAAGAAAACACGCAAAGCAAGATGAACACTAGACAAGCGAAAGAAACGAAAACCCTTGAAATTAACCTTTTAAAAAAACACAATGAACAATGAGAAATAAAACCCCCAACATTCAAACCACGACAGAGTGCATAAGTATCAAATCATCCCTGAATAATTAAATAAGGAAATGTAACCACAAAATATGAGATAAATCCAGCCACCAAATGACCCAAAATGGACAGTACTGGGATGTATTTGGTTTATGTGTTTACACTTTACACATCAGGATTGAGAATCAAAATTATAGTTATTGTGTGATTGATAACTTTTTAAAACACAACTATGTGATTTGATTGCCTCTTCAATTAAAAACCTCATTCTCTAATTAAAAATGGTATCATTCCATCTTATCCCGGTCACCTCCCGATTTGTCACATCCTTTGCATCCTCATTTTTATTTATTTATTTTTATTTTTTTATTTTTTGTCATATTGGTGCTTTGGATGTTATTATATTATAATCAATTGCTTTGATTTTTTTTTAATTTTTTTTTTTTGTATTTTAAAACTTTTATTCTCATTATAGGTCATACATAACCAAAAATCAATATTGGTAATTATTCTAATTTCATACACCCTACTACCAAAACATACATAATACTTTCACTAAAATCCATTAGCATGGTCCTCACAGTTGTTTATTTGCTGTTATCTATATGGACATCTTCCAATTTTATATACTTGATGCTTTCATTTAACTATGCAAATCTCAATAATATATAATATAGCTGGAATAAGAATGCTAAAGCTCAAAATATTAACTGAATCTCTGGCATAGGAAGTCTGATTGCTCGTTGAACCATTGCCAGTGGGATTTAAACCCACGCCCTTTCAGACCAGAGCCTAAATCTGGCGCCTTAGACCACTCGGCCAAACTGTCTCAGTGATAATCTATTTGATATGGTTTCTAAGACAGTCAAGTGGGCTTGAATTTGCAAATCAAAAAATGCTACATAGTGTTTTGCATCAAAGTGATATTGATGTTATTAAAACAATTTCAGTCTGTCACACTACGGCAATAATGGACACAAGTTATCTCTATGGCCATTTTAGTTAATATATGTGCCACATATCACCAAAATAGTATGTGAGACTTGTTGACTCACAACTTATACCGCACTGACATTTTCGTAATCTAAAGTTGTTACTCTACTCAATCCATTTTAAAATCTTTATGAACTACTATTTGACTCACAATCCTCTCTTACTAGCCGGTAATGTTCTAATATTGTTGTTTATTGCCATGATGCTTGAAGATGACCTCTCATCTATCGGCACAGATATTGGGTAAAACACTAAAGCATTCATATCAAGATTTTTAAAAAATTAAATATTGACATCTTGAACGTTTTGCATCGTCTATTCAAATTTGGTTGGAACTCAAAAAATAAAAGCTTGATCTAAATGTAGCTTCAATTTTTAAAATCTAGTCATGCTATGAGTTTTTATTATTCGAACTCACCTCAATTCGACTATACCAAGTTAAAACATTTGTTAGTTGTTCGCTACATATATAGTAAAAGGTACTAGGGCCACTAGGCATTCATCAGGCGATGGATGGGCGCCTAGCGCCTAAATTGCCTAGTCACCTACCCTCCTAGACATGTTATCAAGATATATAAAAAAATTAATATTTTTTTCTAATTATTTATTTTGGACTTTAATATTAAAGCATAAAAAAACCTTTCATTTACTTTAGACTTCAATGCCAAAGCATAAAAGACATTTCATTTACTTCAAACTTCAAAGTTTCAAAAGAGTAGCATAAAAGACCTTTCATTAGGCATGAATACTAATGCATAAGAAAGTAGTGCCATGCACATAAATTAAAAAAAAATGTTTTTGCCTTTAATTTCATTTACTTCAAGGCTATCACAGCAAAATACTCCATCATCATCATCATAATCATAATAATAATAATAATAATAATAATAATAATAATAATAATAATAATTAATTAATTAAGAAAATTCATGACTCTACTCTTCTCTGTGGAATGGAAAAAAATGCATGCAGTTGACTCGGTCAAGTTGAACATCGACTCGATTGAGTTGGCGCCGAGTTGGGTGACGAGAGCCCGCATTTAGTTGGTCGGCCAACTAAAAGGCGCCTATGCCTCTTATTGGCTTTGGGGAGCCTAGCACATAATCACCGCCTAGGCTGATTTTGACAATAGTGCGTGGTTTGCGATAAACTTTTGTTGCATATAATGCTATGGTAGTACTAATTCTGGTTGTCGGTTGTACTTGTCGTATGTATAAATGTATGAACAAGAAGGAAGAACACAAGAGATAGCTCAATCCTCTTTTTATTAAATGTCTTCTTTTCCTTTGAGTATGAAGAGAGAAGGGAGAGCATAAAGATAGAGAGATGGGGTGTAGAGAGTTAATGGCCTCCTCCAACCAAAAGGGCCAAAGGGCCTTTTATAGGGTCAAGGAGGTGACGGGTTTGACCCATCCTGGGTTTGACCCGTTACCTTTGACCCCAACCCACAGACCGAAATTCGAACCGCTTGACCTCGATCCGATTATACACGGACCCGAGATATATAACGTAACCTATCATGCTATATAGTAGAAGTTTGCAATAAAGCCTATGTTAGTTGTTCGTGGTAAGTTTTGTTGTTCTCAAACTCTTGTTGTATATTCAATGTATTGAAAAATGTTGAGTTAATTCTAATTAATCTGTGTACGGAATTTATTATAATTAATAATTAATAATTCATTTTTTAACCTAAGAATTAACTTTGTAACATAAGATTTAATCTTATTAAATTGACAATTTTGGGAATTAGGAAATTCAGTAACATAAGATTTAATCTTATTAAATTGACAATTTTGGGAATTAGGAATTGAATTTTAAATTTCAGTTTTTTAATATCATTAGTGTGAATGAATTCCTCCTCTCATATAAATACCTGTAGTTGGGCAGAATGGGATTTACAACTAGGGAAAAATTTCATTGCAGCATCTTTACCCACTCCAGAGCCATATATAAATAAGGACCATTGCAGAAGGCTTGCTAGCCAAACCAAATTAATTGTGTCAAATCTTTAGTACCCTATTTAACATAAACTTTTTAAGGAGCTATCTGCTATGTAAATGTTGGTATAAATTAGAAACTGTCAAAAGATACTTTAATTTGTATGCTTCCTCTGTATATGCTTGTAAGCAAAGGTCTAGTCTCTGTCGGGACGGGATGTGGGGAGCCTTTGGAGTTTGGGATTCAACCTTTTGAAAATAATAATGTAATAAAATTCAACTAAATAAACCAGGAGTTAGTTGATCTTCTTAAAAGTTACATATAAGTAACATGTTTTGGGAGAAAATTATTATATTCATGGCTCAAACACACCTGGACTATTTGTTATTAGTGATAGATGTTGAGAAGTTGATGAACTAACACATATTTCTTCCTACCAACTAAGCCCAGTACAGTGCATCTTCCATCTTCTTCTCAACCTCCCTCCCACTCCTATATAAACTTGCCCAGAGACCATAACAAATAATCCAACCTGAAAAAACAAAACACATTTCTGATCTTCTGAAAACCTCAGCTCGATCTTCGTTCATCAAGAATGGCTCATTATCATCTAAACCCATCATTTCTCCTGCTTTTGTTGATCACTGTATCGCCGGCAGTGGTGAACATGGTTCAAACCGAGGCCAGAAACCTCCTGGAAATAACCTTGCCTGAGCTCCCCTTTCCTCAAATATTGCCTAAACCTGAAATACCAACCTTTCCAGAAATTCCAAAACCTGAGCTACCAACTTTGCCAGAAATTCCAAAACCGGAGCTGCCATCCATTCCAAAGCCTGAATTCCCAGAAATTCCAAAACCTGAGCTGCCTGCATTTCCCATGCCAGAGCTGCCATCGAAGCCATGATCGATCCAGGTCTTAAACGCATATATGTATATGTTCTCCGATCCAGCATTCTTGATCTGAATGTTTACAGTTTGTTTTGTTCATGATACATCCATTAGTATATAGTATTTACTTATCGTGCATTCCGGCCCATCATATCATAGATTGAACCAATGGGAGCATGCATGTTGTTCTCTCAGTTCGTTGTACTCTTTCAACTCCGATCCTATGTACTTTAATTGTTGTTGTTCTTGTTGTGTACTTTAATTGTTGTTGTTGTGTTTTATTAATAACATTTTTAGTTAATTATTCTGATCTGTTGTTATTCAAATCTATGCAATGATATGATGATACCATCCTATATGTTTCTTGAATTTATCGGGCTATATATATCTTAGATCTGATAAATTGTTATAGATTCATGAGGAGATAAATTAAGTGATGGATATATATATTAGAAAGTTCGGGACAAACCGACCCGAAGAGGAGGTGGCGCGACATGGGGGCCAAGCGCGACCCTGGGTCGACCTTGGCTAAGGTCGGGGTCGACTTCGGCCCAGCCAAGGTGGCCTCGGCTGAGGTCGACCTCAGCTAGCTAGGGCAATCGCAGCCCAGGGTCTCATGGCGGATGGCGGCCCAGGGAGGTCACTGGCCTCGGGTACCCCGCGGACCCGGTCAAATCGCCCCACGAGAATAGGGTGGGCAGTTGGGATGTTAGCTAATATAAAAACAGGCATCCTTGTCTGGTTTTGGACATCTACTTCCTTGTCTTAATATTGCAACATCCTTGTAATTCTCCTACAACAATTATCAATACAAAAGTTGTCCATGCGGCCTATGTTCATTGTCTTTTTTTCGTTTTATTATTTATTCCCTATTTATCGGGTTTAGTGATTCGAGTTATTCGGGTTAATTAAATCCATAGTTAATATAATTTGGATATTGAATACCAAATAGTAAATTTTTGTGCACTTTTGGATTGATTAAAATATGTTTTAAGTTTATATATTTATAAATGTAAATATGCTAGATAGTTTGTTAAAATTGAAAATTTAGAATGTTAATTTTAAAAGGAAAACACGTTAAACAGATCATCAAATTTTTACGATTTATATAATCTAACCATTGAACAAAAAATGTGTGCAATTAAAACATCTAACTTTATAAGTTTATGCAAGTAACATTTATAGCAGGGTACTTCCAGAAAAAACCAAGTCGTCGATAAACGAAAGATTGAAGAAGCAGTATCCTCCGTCTAGGTCGCCGACAATGGAGAGAGGGCAGCCTCCGATGTTTATGTCGCCGACAGACGGAGGAAGAGGTAGCTTTGCCTCCTCCTCCACCCAGGTCTACTCAGGAGGATTGAACTTGGTTCTTCCTCCGTCAAGGTCGACGCAGGAGGAGGCAACTGCCTCCTACTCCATCCTTTGATTATACACACACACACACACACACACACACACACACACACACACACACACACACACACACACACACACACACACACACACACACACACACACATATATATATATATATATGGAGGATGAGGGTTGTCTCCTCTGTCCATAGTCAGAGTGGTGGCAGCCTCGCCTCCTCTTATGACGAATGAGGAGGTATTTCTCTCTTGTAATTTGGCCGAGGAGGTGGTAGTAACCTTCTTCCTTTAAACAATTATTTTAATCTTTTATTAATATGTTAAATTTGTCAAGGAATTTTTTTAAAAAAATATTTTATGTTTCAAGTAACATGTCATAGCAAAAGGGGACTATAAACATGTTGTCTACTTGTAAACTATTTTTTTTATAACATTAAGTGGTTTAATTGTATACTTTTTTTTTATTCGGTAGCCCAATTGAACAAACAATTAAAGTTTGAGGATCTATTTGATATTTTTTTCATTTAAAAATATCAAAAAATTTAATTGAGTTCGGCTCAAGATTTTAATATTAGGGAAAATTAATTTTAATCTGAATAAAAATTAGTTTAATCAATTTGAAAATGATAAATCCAATGATCCAATGACCCAAATGAGCTAGCCCGAAACTTAGTGAGCTGCGCAATTGACTACACATGCATGAATTTTAAAAAGAAAAAGAAAAATTCTTAAGGTGATGTTTAGTTGATGAATTTTGCATATTACTACCGGATTTGATACTCATTATCATGTTTGATGACCTATTTTTGAATACGGATAAAAATAGTAGGGTTTTTTATTATAAATATTACATACTTGAAAATTTGCAATAATTATAAAATGATCATCCGACTATGGTCTTTTATCAAATTGGTTCCTTGACTTTTAATTGCACCCAAAGTAGTCTTCTGACTATCGCATTTTCACAAATTGGCTCCTTGACTTTTAATTGCACCCAAAGTGGTCTCCGACTATTGAATTTTAAGTCAAAATGATCATCCGTTAGACTTGGTGTTAAGTGTGTGTTAAATGAAGGGTAAAAAGGACATTTTATATTGTTTGTTGTTTACAGCTTTGACCTGTCAATTACTTCTCCAAAATAGTGAAAAGATTTTCCCCAAGGGAAAATTGCAATTTGGGGAAGAAGGGAAAAATCTCAATTAGCTAGGTTTATATTCTTTAATTTGGGGAATTAATCGGCAAGTCAAAGCTCTAAATAACAAATAATATAAAATGTCATTTTTACCCTTCATTTTAACATCTCACTTAACACCAAATCTAACGGAAGATTATTTTGACTTAAAATTTAATAGTCGGGGAACTACTTTAGGTGCAATTAAAATTCAAGGAACCAATTTGAGAAAAGACCATACTCGGAAGACGATTTTAGAAATTAACTCTATTACAAACTTAAAAATTTGTAATAATTATAAAATGTTCTCGTATTTTTTTTTTATACTAAAATCATCAAATAAAGGCAAATAAACTGTTAAGATCCATCCTCACTTTTTACTAAAATAAATAAATAAATAAATAAATAAAGGGAAAATCAACGATTTGGTCCCTCAATTGTTAGCGAAATATCAATGTAGTCCCTTAATCACGAAATCATCGATTTAGTCCCTGGAAATAACTGTTTTTAGTTGATTTGGCCCCTCCGACCGTAGCCCGTTGAAAATCCGGCGACTGCTCCGATTTGGCATGGGTAAATTTGTCATTTCGCATTTTGGTCTTATTCATTACCCATGCGAAGCGCTCGGAGACGGCGGAGGCACCGGAATCGTCGTCGTCGGGGTGAGGAGTCGAGAAGTACGCCTCCGGCAACGGCGAGATTGTCGACAACGGCCAGTCCGCGACGATTTCGGAAACTTCGCCGCTGTAATCGGAGAGGAAAACGAGGTAATTCATCACGTACCGAGTGAGCGGATGGACGGCGCCGCCGGGCGGCGGTTTCGAGGAATCCTTCTGAACCGCTGTCTCAAACTCCGTAAGCATCGCTCTAATGGCTTCTCCGAGCTTTAGGAGTGACATCACTGCCTGAGACCTCACCGCCGCGATGGAGGTGAAGTCGAAAATGGACTCAATTTTCGGCCATAGCTCCGAAACTGCCTCGTAAAGATCCAAAAAACAGAACATTTTCTCGATGGATAGCTTCTTATATTTCCCAACGCATTCCGCAAATCCCAACACCGACATCGCGCCGTCTTTTGTGATTTCCGTGAAACACGACTCTCTGATGTCGTCGGAAGCCGAGAAAACCTCGCTGCAGAGAATCCTCTCTCCGAGGAAGAGAGTTGTCACGACGATTTTCACAGCAGACAGCCAATTCTTAACTCTCTCGTCCAATGTTTGCCAATCCATTTTCTGAATCTGGGAAGTGCTGGAGTTTTCCACTCCCAGATAATACAGAGTCTCATCCACGATGGATTTTCGGATTATGGTGTAAATCTTCATGCACTCTTTTCCGTATCCAGCTCCGATCCTGCATTTCGCGACGGCTTTCAAATCCGCAACCGCCGCGTCGGGAACTCTCGCCGCCGCGGCTCGACCAACTGTGTCTTCATCTTCCTCGGAAGCATCGTCTCCCAAATCTGAAACACTGGATTTCGTCGATGATCCTCCTCCAGAGCACCTGGTTGAGGGATCCAGAAAGTAGCGATTTCCAGATAAAATAGTGTAGAACTCTTTCTGCAGCCTCTTCATGGCGATTTGCATCAAGTTATGAGCTATAACGAGCTGCTCAGAGCTCGAATTCTCCACCGGAAACTTTGTGAACCGCCCGGCGTCAAGAGTAAACCGTTATTTTCCGGCGAAACCCTTTTTTGTTCATTTTAGAACGAAATGACAAATTTACCCATGCCAAATCGGAGCAGTCGCCGGATTTTCAACGGGTTACGGTCGGAGGGGCCAAATCAACTAAAAACAGTTATTTCCAAGGACTAAATCGATGATTTCGTGATTAAGGGACTACATTGATATTTCGCTAACAATTGAGGGACCAACAATTGAGGGACCAAATCGTTGATTTTCCCATAAATAAATGCTATCATTTGTTCCTACCTATACAATATATGTGTATATGTATGTATTATATATTTTATATATTTATATTTATTTACTTTTAAAAAAAAAAGTCGTTATCGTCTGAGTTTTGACTTTTGACTCCATTAGAAAGCAGGTGAAGTCTAATTGTCTAAATATATGAAACGACAGCGTAGTGACGCAATTGATAGACAAACTCACAAACCTAAATACAACGGAGTTTTCTGCTACAATTCTTCAATCTCATTTACCCAAAAACAGCCATTCAGAAAGCAATCCGGCGAAGAAAAGCTGTGAATTTTTTTTGAAAATGGAAATCACGGCGGGAATCAGAGCCTATGCGCTGTTGTTGATGATGCTGTTCAGTTTCGTCACCAATCTCTCCGCGCTATCTGTTACCGTCAACGATGTCGAATGCGTGTACGAGTACGTTCTGTACGAAGGCGACACCATTTCCGGCAACTTCGTCGTTGTCGATCACGACATCTTCTGGAACTCGGATCACCCTGGCATTGATTTCACTGTATGATTTCTATTGATTCAATCTCCTTTTTCTGTATATACATACATGCGCCGGCTGATTTTCATCGTACCTGCGTCAAATTATCTTGATTTAATTTGATTTAGTCATAATTTTTTCTGGTAATTTTAACTTTAGCTCGATAGAAAATGAAGCAACTTTTATGAGCTGAAATTCGATTTTATTTTATTGGTATTTTGTTTCTGTTCAAAGTTTCACTAGATTTATGCAATTTTGAAGAATAAAAGAGTGGTAATGATGGATTAAATTAATACCTCTGTCGTAAAAGATGCTGTATTTGTTAGAGAGAGATCTTTGGGAATTCAATTTTATTCATCAGAGGCTGGTGAAAAGGCTGGATTTGTAGGCCCTAAATAATTTTGTTTCCATTTTATTTTATGTATTGTGACAGTGTATTATTCCTGTCAAGGAGTTCACAAAAAAATTTCAACTAGTAAAAATTTCTGCTTCGTAAAGATGTCCTTGATGGTGGAAGAATCAGTGTTTTTTTCATTAGGCTCAAATAGGAATCATGAGAAGATGTGTGGAATGAGGATGATGATGATGATAACAGAAAGGAAGTCTGATAAAAATCTTTGTTCAGTTTAATCTCTGTCTTGGCCTATAAAAATCTTGCAGGTTGGAAAAATATGGCTGGTTGATGATATTTTAGTAGTGGTTTTGGCAGAAGGTCCTTACTTTACAAATTCCAAGTTGTGATTTTCATAATTGAAACACTTTCCTTCCATTTACCAGAAAGAGACCTTCATACTCATGGAATAAGTCAATATATGTGTTTTTCCCCCAAAATTGCTAGATTTTGAGTGCTATATAACATCCTGAACATCTGAATTTGTGGGTGCAGTTTGTTTGTATTCATGTGGCAGCAATGAATACCTTGTAACAATAATATGTAGTATATTAACCCAACAGGGTAGCTCAAGTGGCAAATGAGCTCCCTTTGTGGGGGAGAATTCCGGGATAACCCGGGTTCGATTCCCACAAGTGACGATTCCCTTTGGGCCAGCTCCCGTGCCTCCCGGAGCGAACGGGGATTAGTCGGGTGAACCTAGACCGTTAAACGGACAGAGAAAGACCCGGACCACCTCGTGGTTTACACACAAAAAATAATAATAATAACAATATGTAGTATATTGATGGCGTATTGCGATTTTATTTTGTTTGGAGAACTGCAACAGCTAGAGTAAGACATTCTGAAATGGAATATTAACAATCCATCTCTTTTTCCTTCTTTTTTTCTACTGTAGGTGACATCACCTGGAGACAATGTTGTCCACTCAATGAAGGGAACATCTGGTGACAAATTTGATTTTAAAGCCCCAAGAAGTGGGATGTACAAATTCTGTTTTCACAACCCATATTCAACACCAGAAACAGTCTCCTTCTACATACATGTTGGCCACATTCCTAATGAGCATAACCTTGCCAAGGATGGTTCGTATAAACTTTTTACATAGATAGTTTCTTCATTTCATGTTTTAATATTCTGTTTACTCATCTTGCACTACTGTGCTAGAAGTGAAATATTTGATTGCTAATGGTGGCATTGAATGTTGCTATGAATTCCTTAAAATAGTGAAATTGACTTGGAATTGATTCTTGCAGAACACTTGGATCCCATTAATGTTAAAATTGCTGAACTGAGGGAGGCATTGGAATCCGTTACATCTGAGCAGAAGTATTTGAAGGCACGGGATGCCCGCCATCGTCATAGTAAGTCCTTGAACAGTTCAACTTGATTACTCTATATGCTCATAATAATGTTCAAATTCTCTGTAGCTTTTCCATTCTATATTAGCTTTGATCCTCTCGTACATACAAGCTTCAGAATGCCATACCTTTTGAGCCAAATAATATGGAGTTACTACAAGAAGCATTGATTATATGCACAAAAGTGCACCTTTGTTTAGCAACTCTCCGCAAATTGTCTTTGGATAGACAAATTTCAGCTGATAATATGGTTGTAGATAACATTTTTAGTTTTCTTTCTGGTTTCATGAATATGTCATGTATTCATGGATTACATGGGTGTGGGTAATGTTTTTAGAAGTACTTACTAATCTAATATAAGTTGATTTTAGATAGGGAACATTACTGACAATGCCTTATGTACCCACTGCCTATATTGCATATTAAAGTATGTTAGTTTTGACATTGCAATCCTTTTGGGAAAATTAGAAGTATTTAGCTGCTTAGATATCCAAATGCAGGAAGTTGATTAGGGGACTTCATATTGATTTTCAAATCTGACCATTTTAGAGACCCATCCTATCAATGTCTTATGTGTGTGCTAGTAAATGATTCTTAATATAGTCAGAGACTCCTCTGACTCTCTGAGCAGTTCTTCCTTTACCTGTGCTTTTACCTGTGTAAGTTCAAGTAAAGACTCAAACCTTTCAAGGTAGGGACTACAGCAGTGACTCTCTGGTTTAGGAAGGTAGAAGTAATAAGAGATGATCATACAGTATATTTCTGTGTAAAGTTGAAAGATTGAAAACATCAAGATAGTCTTTTGTACTTTGCTTACTACAATGGGGTGATAACTGATAATGAATATTACATCTTTTTGTGCTTATCTTGTGTACATGGTCCACGGGCTCTATTTTAATTTATGTTTCAATGCAGCAAATGAGAGCACAAGAAAGCGAGTCATTTTCTACACAGTTGGAGAGTATATTTTGCTTGCTCTTGCTAGTTCACTTCAAGTTGTTTACATCCGCCGCTTGTTCAGCAAGTCAGTAGCCTACAACCGGGTTTGACCAAGTTGCATGCTTGTAGTTTCCTCATCCTTTTTACAGGAATTATATTGCTGTTTACTATCACTGTCAGTTCATTTAGAGGAAAAAACAACACTTCCCTGAAACAAAAATAACATTATAATTACTTGTTAAATTTATCATCAACATTTTAGGATTGTGCATTTGTGCATGTAATGTCATCTTCTGTTACTTAAGACTCACCTGCATGTAGTAGCAATTTGTGCCCCAGAAGGGGTGATTAAGTGGGTGGAGCATAATTTTTCTTACTTAAAGGTCACAAATTCAATTATTGCCAATATCTTGGTGTGTAATCTTTTTAGTTCAATTTACCTCTTATGTATAATTTGCGGTCTATTAACTCAATTTATTTTAATATATCAAAAACCATGCAAGTGGCTACCCAACATTTATTGTGCACAATATACCTAGTACATTAGAGGTGTGTCATTTTCAGTCCTCTCATACTAGGGAAAGATCTTCTCAATACTTTAATGTCTACACCGAATATGAAATGAACTATCACACGATGGTTTGAACCCAACTTATGTACTACTTTAATGGACAAATAATCTAACCCTTAAAACACATGCAATTTCATAACGTTCAAATTTTAATTTCACATGTACAAACGTTGTAAATTCTGTTTTCATTTTACATGTTATAAATTTAGGATATTGATGGTTTCAATTCCAAAACTGCAAATGCAGCCATAAAGGTTGTACTTAAAAATAATAATAAATAATAAATCCCTTAATCTAACGCTTTGTGCCTTTGTGTACCATATGGTCTCCAATTTGGTGAAGGAATTGAAGAAATTGAAAAACAAAATAAATTTTAAAAAGGTTTATTGGTGAAAATTTTTATTTTTTTTAATGCTTGATGACTATTATATTTAAATTGTTAAATTTTATTAATCTAATACCAAAATTTTATATTATTTAAACTCTACAAAAATTTAACAATTATAAGGTGGTTATTAGTTACGGAGTAATTGTTATAATATTTGAACTAATACATTGTTAATTGTATTTAATCTAATACATTGTATTAGTTAATGGTTATTAGTTAATTGTTAATTGTATTAATCTAATACATTGTACTTTCTTTATTGTGCTCTTATACATATTTTTAAATTCCATCATATTTTTTAAATTTTACCTTAACACAACTAATCTAACAAAACACAGGACACCTTATAAATTGTGAAACTATAATAGTTCGACATTTATTTTGATCAGTTTTACTGTTGGAATGTGCATCACTTGAATAGCTTATGCATTAATTACTTTCTTTCTGGCTTTCAATCATTTTGTTAACATTTTGGAAAATCTAAAACCGCTATCTAAATATGCACTTTGAGTGAAACTCGTCATGACCTACACAACAAAGGACCACGAGATTGTAAATCATCATAAGTTGTCTATAGCTTATTGACTCACGTTAATAATAAAGCCAATAGATCGCTTTTATGGGAAGTCAAACTTTAAACCTTATGGTTACTAAGTCATTTGTCTGATCAACTCGGATGAAGTTGCCCCCAAATTTAACATTTCACTCATCCATGATTAAGGGTTGAGATGCTTGGAGTCTCTGGGCATGTTTGGTTAATGGCGGATTCGCCAAAATTTTGGCGGATCCACCATTTCGGCGTTTTGACCAAGGTGATATAATCTGCTAGTCAAACCGCTAATATAATCCGCTAGTCAAACCTGCTAACACAATCCGCTATTTGCTAACCACTAACACAATCTGCTAACGCTAACCGCTAACCGCTGTTTGCCAAACAAGGCCTCTATCTTTGTCTCTTAATCAAATCCCGCTAGAGGTTAGGTATGATATAACTTGACCTAGATTGGTGTTTATTTACTTTTTTAGTGCTGTCGTTGATTTTTTTTTTTTTTTTAATAACATTTTCTCAAAAAAATTAACTTTTTGGGTACATATCTAAATATTCCATTTAGTTATTTTTTTAAACAAAATTGAATTTTCTGAAATCACGTATAAGTGAAGGCACTAAATTCCCCATCTGGGTAATTGGGACAAACTTTTGCCTTATGCAAATATAGTTAAGTCTCTTATTTTTAGTATATAATAGCACTCCAAATTGTCCAACCCTCAAATTGGTCTAAATTGCATGGATTCTTGCTAAGGTGAATGTTAGGTTGAACTTGCCCATCGTGTGACTAGTAGTCTAGTACGTCACAATGTCTAAGTTGCGTCACATGATTTAAGAGAAACTTCATGAGAATAGTAGACAAATACTCTATCTTATTACTCATCTCAAAATTTAAATTTATAAATTTGACTTTTATCAATATGTTTTCAGTCGAATTCATTGTACATATTTTTCTAGTGTGAGTTATATATTCTGTGTGGTTTATGCTAGTTATTGCACAAGAGCAAAGTTTACGTTATACATATCTTGGATAGTGATTACAAATTTTCATCCTTACAAAAAAAAATCAAATTTATTCATTGTGTGTTTAAAATGGTAGCAGTATTTCATTGTTTAAAGCGGTCAATCTCAATTTCATGTCATTTGAGTTAACTTTCTACAACATGCTCAAATTTACTTTGTAAAGACATGTATTTTTTTTCCAACTAAATTAAGCTTTTGGAATTTAGATATGGTACAAATGAATTGAATAAAATATGGATGTTTTTTTTTTTTTTTTTTTTTTTTTTTTTTTTTTTTTGGGGTAGGCGGTGGGGAGGGAAAGGAAAACCCCAAAAAGAAAACTACTATAAATATCTTTTTGAAAGCAAAATGGCAATTTCAATTACTGTAAAAGTGTAGAAACAAAGTCAGGGACGGAGTCCTAATACAGAGTACTAGTATGAGTAGTCGCTTTATAAGTTAAAGCATGAGCAATAAAGTTCAGCTGTCTAGGAATAAAAAACAACGAGCAATTAACTAAAGAAGCCAGAATGGCCTTGTAGTCATCAGTTACCACACCAACACACAATCTGGGAGAGTTCCCTGAGCTAGTGACATATCGATGAAGGGCCGAACAATCCGTATGAAAAATAACCGAACCAACCGCACAATCCTATACCCAAGATAACGCCTCCTTGCAAGCTAGAGCCTCGGCTGTTAGAGCATTTACCGTAGCCAGTAGTGGTCCACAAACGGCAGCAACAAATCTCCCTTCTGCCGAAAGCAAGGCTGTCCCGTAGTACGCCGCTCCCGAGTCCGCGAAGAACGCCACATCGACGAAGCAGCACAGGCCATCCGGTGGTAGCTGCGGCAAGGGATGTTGCTGGGTAGGAGGTGAACTAGTGGTGGTGTTGTAGCATCCCATGCGGCAATAGCTGCAGTCGAGCGGCTCCAAACACATGAGGGCCGTGGCAATTTTGCGTCCCAAACCGCATCGTTTCTTGCACTCCATATATGATATAAAATCACAATCAATAAGTGAATGCATAACATCCTCATGAAACAAGTCACACATAGGGCATGAGGGGCTAACATCCACTATCTTTAAAAGGAGGGAAGTATTGGTGGGAAGAATTCCACTAATAGCTCTCCACAAAAATAACTTCCAACAGGGAGGGGTTTTTAACTTCCATAAGGTTGGCCATTTATTAAAAGTATGCTGGGGTTGAAATCTCCCAAAACTGTTCTATAACTACTTTTCACAGAATATGTGACATTGGGCTCCCTGTTCCAATACCACGAGCCCTCATAAGATGGGCACACAGGCACCCTCAATATACGATTCACATCTCCCGGATCAAAATATCACGAAGAATAGATAGGTTCCACGTATGAGTTTCCTGATCAATCAAACCTGAGACCCTGGATCCACTCAACTGTTGCGACATAGGGGTATGGATTAATGGGTCAGAATCCAAAAGCCACGAGTGACCCCAGATCAAAGTGAACTCACCATCACCAATCCTCCTCCTAACTCCACCACAAACAAGACCATGGGCTGCCATAATGCTTCTTCAGCAATAACTGGGATTATTTCCTACTGTAGCATAAAAAAAAAAAAAAAAAAGAGGTTTTAGGGAAGTATCTTGCCTTATACACACGAGCAACAAGCGAATCAGGCTTTGTGAGGAACCTCCAAGCCTGCTTGCCCAGCATAGCCAGATTAAAAGCTTTTAGGTCCTTGAAACCCAAACTACCAACAGCCTTTGGTTTACACAATTTATCCCATGCCATCCAATGAATAGCACTCCCATTGGTGCCACCTTTGGCCCACCAAAACCTGCTCATACATCTTTTAATGGCCACACATAAAGAGTCAGTAAGCAAAAAAACACTCATAGTAAAAGTAGGCATTGATTGCGACACACTTTATAAAAGGATTTTTTTGCCAGCCTGAGAAAGCAACTTCTTATTCCAAGACTCAATCCTTTGTTTTATCTTCTCCTCAATATAGGAGAAACCAGCTTCTTATTTCTCCCAACAAAAGACGGTAAACCCAGATACTTCTCAAAATCCGTGGCCTGAGCAACCCCAAGAATTTCCACCACTGCATCTCTGTCATCAACCCCCGTGTTTCTACTAAAACAAATACTGGATTTATGATAATTCACAGTCTGACCTGAGAGTAGTTCATATGACTGTAGGCACTGTTTAATTACCCCAGCTTCCTGCGAATTAGCTTTAAAGAACAAAAAGACTATCATCAACAAAAAATAAATGAGAGATAGTCGGGTCTCCTCTTGACACCCTACAACCATGAATTAGCCCCATAGCCTGAGCATTATGCAAAAGAATTGACAACCCCTCTACACAAATAATAAACAAGAATGGAGATAAGGGATCCCCTATCGTAGGCCACGGGTCGGCGTGACCTCCCCTCCAGTTGCGCCATTTACAAGAATCCTGTAGGTGACTGTTGTAACGCAACACATAATCAACTCAACCCATTTCTTTGCAAAACCCAGAGCAATGAGCATATTTTGCAAAAAAAAAGACCATTCAATCTTGTCATACGCTTTAGCCGTATCCAACTTCGAGCACCCCAACCTACCAAACCACATTGCTTTCTATTCAAGTAATGGTCCATCTCCGCTTCAATCATAATATTATCCATAATTAATCTATCTGGAATAAATGCACTTTAAGACTCAGAAATCACTGTATTTAAAATTGGCTTCATCCTATTGGCTATCATCTTAGCATCATGTAGACCACGTTGCACAAGGTAATGGGTCTCAAGTCAGACACCTGCTCAGGGACATGTTTCTTGGGAATCAACACAATATTTGTCTCATTCAACCCGGCCGGTAAATTCCCAGAATTCAAGCAATCAATTACAAAAGAAGTCACATCACTCCCCACCACATCCCAAAAATACTGGTAAAAACCTGAGTTCATACCATCAGGCCCTGGGGCATTCTCTAGGAACATAGAATAGAGGGCAACCTTGACCTCCTCCGCCTCAAAAGGACAGAGTAACTCTTCATTCTGGGACTGTGAAACCCTAGTAAGCACATTACTAAAAAACCCCTCACCATCCCATGCATGCCATTAGATTTAAAAATATCTACATAATAATCCAAAATAAGCATTCATATCAAACACATTCAACTCCAACTGCAATAAGATGTAAAAAGTAATCATCCAATTTTCTATATAAAACAAAGTTAGTTTCTTTTTAGAACAATTCTTATAATCTCAGAGAACATAGCATATCCACTACTCATATAAAATAATTTTTGAGCGGCAACAACTTTTGGGCAACAACTCATAAAATTTGTCTCAAACTCTATTACCCTAAAACCCTTATCCCAACTAATAGTGAGGCTAAAGTATATTGTCCAAAGCTCAAGCCTAACACTTGTAGCATTCCTCACGCCATAACATTGCCATATTGTCCAAAGCTCAACCCTAACATTGCCATATTTGATCATTTGTTACAACTTTCATCCAATTAACTTTTATTTTTTGGACAATTTGATAATTTCACACTTTTAATCTCTTATTTCTCTTTAAAAAATGTTTTCAAACAATATATTAAATGATGTAATATAGGAAATTAAAAATAATAATTTTTAAAAATGATATCTATTGAATTATTCTTTGTTATATTACAGTTATTACTTATGAATATTACTTCAATAAGAAACCGAGACTATATATTATTATAAAATTATTAAATTTTTAAAGAGTTAATATTAATTTAATGAACATTGCATTAAAGGATAAAATATAACAAAGTTATTAAAGTCCTGGGACTAAATCAACAATGCCACATATTAGGGTTATGGTAATCAAGCTAAGCTCAGCGATCCAACTATGCAATAATATGAAAAGATTTGATTTTATGGCCTAACTAATATCTCAAAAAAAAATTTAAAAGAAAAATATGAAATAGGTTTGACCTAGACACATGAAAAATAACCAAAGCTTAACGCGTCAAAAGTCTGGATACATTGGTAGAAAATGTGGACTAGAACATATCAAAACATATTATATGTATCAATCGATGCTCTCCGATTCTTAAATTAGTAAAAACTAGATGACAGTATGATTACATTGCATGAATAGAATGTTTTGACACCCAAACAAATACGGGAGATTTGATTTTCATAATGTTGCCTTCGCAAATTCAAGCTAAAAGATACAGATTAACATGCAAAATCTAGATCTCTTATTACAATATTAATTAATACAATGAATCCCCTTACCAAGCTAAAAAACATTGTTGTTTTTGTTAATCATTTAAGGGATTACTTATTATTTAACATGAGTGGTTAATCTTAACACTATCTAAATAAAAAATGTAGTCGTAGAATAAAGGTAGATTTTGGTATGTACAAAAACAATAAAAAGTCAAACCAGCTTAGTTGACGTGAGTGGCCGTGCACTCTTGTCCCTTAAGAGAGGTCAGACCAATATTTTGTTCCTTATCTGAGTATGATAGAGCTAGTTTAGAACACCTCGTGGTTTGAAAAAAAAAAAAAGAAAAAGAAAAAGGAATAAGGTTCAAATTGACCAGTGAACGTAACCTGAAAATGCAATTAGACCACTGAACGAAAAAAAAAAAATACAATTAGATCACTGAAGACTCTAAAAAAAAAAAGAAAAAGAAAGAGAGACGGGGTGGCCGACCTTCCCCCCTCTTCCTTCGTCTCCGTCTCCGCCAGAGACGAAGGAGGGGAGAAGGGGGTGGCGTGAGACGAAGGACCTGTCTCACGCCACCCCGCTTTCCCCTTCCTTCGTCTTCGGCAGAGACGGAGGGGGGGGGGGGGGGGGGGGGGGGGGAAGAAGGGCCGGTCATAAGCATGTAACTTGCTATTAGGTAAAATTGTATTTTTTTAGAATATTCAGTAGTCTAATAGTATTTTTTTTTTTTCATTTAATAGTCTAATTGCATTTTCAGATTATCTTAGAATTTCAATTTTTTGTATTGCTTACTTTAAGCCGATGTATTAACCAAAAGACCATTATGGCCCTAATTTAAATCCCCTATCTCACAAGTCACAACCGCAAAGTCGGAAACTACATGTCAAATTTTTAGTCAAACTTCCTTTATTATACGGAGTAGTTTATAGTATTTATTTATAATAATAATATAAATATAAATAACACACGAATTTTCCTTCTCCGCTCCTCCTTCCTCTAGATTCTAGGGTTTCTCTTCTTTATTTTCTGGGAGCCCCATCTCTCTAGTTCGCTCCCTCTCTCCATTTCTCTATCTTATTACTGTTTTCACTGTAGCCCAAGAGTTCATATGTCAGCGCTACCAGCTCCCTAAGGTTTCTAATTTTCTTGATTATTGATTTCTCTCATTCTTTCACTATAATACTCAACAAATTTCATCGTCTACTTGATGGACAAAATTGAGATTCATGAGAAAGATTCCGAAGAAGCTGACAATTCCTGCAAGAATGCGCCAAGAAATTCAGATGAGACTGTCGATTTGAAGAGCTTGGAGGAAGATGCTCCCAAAAAGGCCGAGGTTTTCGACTCGATTATTGATGTTTCCGGGAAAAGTTTCGACTTTCCTGTGTTGGAATGCGAAGGAGGGGAAGTGGAGGGTTTGTATGTGTACAAGAATACATTCAATTTGATCCCGAAAGCGAGTGGGGGCCTGGGGAGACTGAAGACGCTCAAATTCTTTGCCAACGATGTGAATTTGTTCCCTCCTGGGGAGCTGAAGAACTTAGTTGAGCTCGAGTGCTTGCAAGTGAAGGTGGCGTTGCCGGGCTTGACTGGGTTGGATCTGCAGAAGCTCAAGGGCTTGAAAGAACTTGAGCTCTGTAAAGTACCCTCAAGGCCTTCGGCTTTCCCAATTTTTAGAGATATCACAGGGCTTAAGCGGCTAACAAAGCTCTCTGTTTGCCATTTTTCCATTAGGTTGGTGTTTCTCTCTTTTTCTGTCTTTTTCACTCTTTTGGGTTTTGCAATGAATAGAACTCCCTAATAATATTTAGGGTGTTGTTATGTTGTTTTTCTCTGTGAAGTTCTTTAGGAATGGTTGATACAAGTAAAGTTTTACCCTAGTATTGATCATAGCTGATTCTATATCTTACATTGGGGATGGGTGGTTACCTTAGGACTAAAAAAATTCCATCTTGATATCCTCTCTTTTAAGAGTGCTGGGAACATAATGTAGTTTTTTGAAGAGTTATTTTATCTTCTATTTGAACCATTTTCGGATAGTGGTTGAACTACTTTGGCAAAGTTCAGGCTTTAGAAATATAGCATACTGAATGATCAGGATATATATAGGCATCTAGCTAATACATGGAGTAGCACTATTTTCCATAAAGTATTGGCCAACCAATATTTTCTTCTTCAAGCTTTGGAAATGTTGCTCGAGAAATTCTGAATGCACATTTGTTTAATCATGCAATAGATGCATGATTATATGATTATACCAGTGTGGATGATACTTTATGTTAATGCTTGGTTTGATGAGTCATGGCTTTATATTAATATACATAGCGATCTAAGTGAATGAGCTTAAGAACCAACTATAGTGCTGATGAAGTGCAGAAAAACAAGGAATTATCTTGTCTTCACAAATTGCAAGGGTATAACCAGCTGCACAGTATTCATTAAATTGATTGTAAGTTGTGTTAGGGATGTCATATCGATGCGTGGTTGGTGTAACGGAAAGCTAACCGGCGGAGAATTCAATTTTCTTATTCAATTCCATTTGGGAGTTAGGAGTTTAATGTGATGCTGGATGGAGCCTTATAAGTTGTATTGTGAAGAAAATATGTCAGGGTCCTCAGGGATGACTGAATATAGGCAGATATATATATTTTTTGAATGTACTAAATACTCTGTGTGCCTTTCTTTTCTGGCGTTTTGTCTCATAAATCCACCTATGCTTCCTATTGTTCTCAATTAAATACTTCCCAACCAATATCAATGAGTCACTTTTAAAGTAAACCCACTGACTTTATTCCAATCTATCCTTAGTTGGTAGTTGTCTGTACTCTGTAGATGTCCATTAAGATTAAATATAGTTGCCTCGGACTCATAGTACTATTGAAACTGGAAATGGGTTGTGTAGTTGTTAAGGGTTAGTTCGGTTTCCACTGATCCAGTAATAGGTCCTTTGAATGGCTTGCAGACTCTGCTTAGTTGTGTTTAGTTTCACCACTATAAACTAGTATGTATCTTCTTTGTTTGATAAGTATTTAGCTGGAAATTTAAGTTCTTGAAGAAACATTTGGGATTGTTCAGTTGACTCAGATTGTCTTGTCTAGATCAATCTCCCAGATAAACTGTGGCATCAATACTGTTTTTACTATTTCTTTTGTTTCCATTCATGATTCATTTGAAGTTTAATTTTTAATTTCTAAACTTTTTAATCAGTTTGTTTTAATTAAAATTAGTAGAATGTTCTCTGTAGAAGAGTTATTATTAAATCCTTAGTTTCTTCTGGATGCCTGCAGATTCCTGCCCCCAGAGATAGGCTATCTCATCAATCTGGAGTACCTAGATATTTCATTCAATAAGATGAGGAATTTACCAACTGAAATAACATATCTCAACTCATTATTATCACTGAAAGTTGCCAATAACAAATTGGTTGAAGTTCCGTCAGGCTTGTCTTCTCTACAAAGACTGGAGAATTTGGACCTTTCTCACAACAGATTGACCTCCTTGGAAAATCTTGACCTTGGTTTAATGCATAATCTTCAGAGACTCAATCTTCAGGTATGTATTAATATCAAATTCATTTGCGCGTTTACTTATGTCCTTTAAATTTTGGGTGAATGAAAAATTTATTATGTGACAGGCTCCCTCTAGTCATTGTTGAGATTTTTTTGCATCTTTGGCAACTATATTCTCTGATAAAGTACGCAATTCATTTCTTCACATCTGGATGGGCTTGAAAACTTATGTTTGATTGCCTTAACTAAAGCAATTTTCCCCATCTTGGCATTATGATAGGATAATAGACTTCTCCAGTGTTGCGATATACCATCTTGGATATGCTGCAATTTGGAGGGAAGTTGCATAGATGACTTGTTCAATTCATCTTCAGAAATGGATGTTCTTGAAGAGACTAATGGCAGTACCCAACATGGTAAAGGCTGTGGAAACTCTATTTTCCTCCTCCCATGCGTCAAAATCAGTCCCCATGTGCTTATTTCCCAAAGTCTTGTTATTTTGTGTTTAATTGATTTGCATCTAACAAGGTTTAATTTGATGGGTTAGGCTCTTCTATTGCGTCATTGTCTCATTTAACTGGCTCAGCACCAAATAGTAGATGTTTTGGGCCACGAAAATCAAAGCGGTGGAAACGGCGGCAGTACTTGCAGCAGAGGGCACGCCAAGAACGACTGAATAACATCAGAAAGTGGAGAGTGGAAAACCAATCCTCAATTCAACAAACTTCAAAAGAATGTGGTGCTTGTGAACATTCTGGATCCACCACTGTGGGTACTGGTTCTAGCAAGGAGGAGATTTCATCTCATTCTAACAACATAAATTCACTCATTGATGATATTGACTTGAAGAAGGATAGTGTAGAAAAATGCTCATGTGTTGTTCCTAACTCCATTATAATTTGCAAAGAGGTGAAGGATAGCTGTATTGAAAGTGATAGATCATTAGAATCTTTTTTAAATGCTGCTAGTGCAGAGGATGAAGTTTCGTCTGCTGGAGTTTGTGACAACCCTTCAAAACCAAAAAGGCATTTTGATGGGGTTCTTGAAAATCCAAAGCCAAGAAAAACTCGAAGACCAACCAATCCTGATGATTTATCACGGAAATATAGTGATCTATCATTTTGTAGCACTGATGATCTCCTGCCTGATGGTTTTTATGATGCTGGACGAGATCGACCATTTATGCCACTGAGCTTTTTTGATCAAAATTTGCAACTCAGTTCACGAGAAGTCATTCTTGTTGACAGGTAATTCTATAATTCCAATACTCATATTTGAGTACATTTTATTTATTCAATTTAGTTTTTTTTTTTAATGCATTGTAAATTTAATTTTGATCAGGCAAAGAGATGAAGGGTTGGATTCCATAGTAATGCGTGCTCAGGCATTAGTATTTCGTTTTAGGCAGATAAATGGTTTGGTCAAGGAAAGAGGACATGTGGCCATTGATCACCTTCAAGTTGCATCATTGCTTGCGCTCTTTGTGTCTGATCATTTTGGTGGAAGTGATAGGAGTGCTGTTATTCAGAGGGCAAGAAAAGATGTATCTGGTTCAAACTATAGGAAACCTTTTGTCTGCACATGCTCTACTGGAAATGCTGACAGTATGAATAAGGCCACGGAGCAAAGTCTGAACAGTGTACAGGATATTTTTTTGCTTGATCTTTGTGAGAGATCTCTTCACTCCATCAAGTCAAGGCAAAATTCTGCTGTTGTTCCAATTGGTAGTTTGCCATTTGGCATTTGTAGACACAGAGCTTTGCTTATGAAGGTATTTTCTTTAGGAATCCAGATATGGTAGATAATGCAATTAATGATAACTTAAACTGATATTTTTTATTGACATTTTCTCCAGTATCTTTGTGATCGGATTGAGCCTCATATACCTTGTGAGCTTGTTAGAGGGTACTTGGATTTCTCTCCTCATGCCTGGAATGTCATTGTTATTGAGAGGGGTGGCAGATTGTTTCGGATGATAGTTGATGCATGCCATCCCCATGACATTAGAGAAGAAACAGATCCAGAATACTTTTGCAGGTTGAGATTTTTGAAGATTCTATGATCTATTCTTTATCATACTAGGGCCTTCTTAGTTGTAGGAGTATGCATGACCTTCACTTAGTTGTTTAAGTTGATGTCTTGTGTTGTATGTATCAGTTCTAATCATTACTAACTGCGAATATCCTTTTCTCTATAGCAGTGCTTCAATCCTGAAGTTTTAACTGTTATTTTATTTTCTTCTGTATGGAATGTTGCTTATAAGTAATGGTTAAATAATTTGAAATCACTGTCGTCACATACCAAAGAGGGAATTTCTGCTTCTCTTTTGCTATACCATTTCTATAAATGGCTATTCAAAATTCCTAGTTGGTTTTTATTATTAACAGCTCTTAAAAGGACATCTTTATAGACCTGTTGTTTGCCGGGATTAATTATATGATTTCCCGTTTTGCCTTACAATTTGTTTGCCCATTTGTGTGATACTTGCTGACTGTATTACTTATATCTAGGTATGTTCCCATGAGCCGGGTCAATTCTCCTCTTAAACCTGCTGGCAATTCTGCTTCAGGTTCCTTTCCTGCTCTATCTGCTTCTGATGAAGTTGGGAAAGTCGCTTCTACAACTCTAATCCAATGTAAACTGGGATCACTAGAGGCTCTGGCAAAGGTTTTTGCTAAAATCTTAACTTTTCCATAGTCATGATATTTTCTTTTTGATCCCTGTTCTTTGTTTTCTCTGACACTTCGCAAGTATTCAATGTAAAAATCCTTCCTTTTATGATTTTTTATTGAAATTTGGTTTGTTTTTGCAGGTGCGAACTTTAGAAGTACAAGGATCATCAATTGATGAAATTCGTAGTTTTGAATTCAATTGCATAGGGGAGATTAGGATGTTGGGAGTTTTGAAGCACTCCTGCATTGTAGAGATTTATGGTCATCAAATTTCTTCAAAGTGGAATCAATCAGCTGACGGAAATACAAACTGCCGCCTTTTACGGTCTGCCATTTTGATGGAACACGTTAAAGGGGGTTCGTTGAAGGTGATCATTTCCCGTTTGAACTGTTATACTCATTTACTTCTTGCCCTATATTCTTATCTCCCTATTTGTCATACTACAGAGCTATTTAGAGAAAGTTTCTGGAGCTGCCGGTGAGAAGTGTCTACCAGTCGAATTGGCACTATTTATTGCCAGAGATGTGGCTTCCGCCTTGAGAGAGTTGCATTCTAGACATATTATACATCGTGACATAAAAGCCGAAAATGTTCTGATTGATTTGGACAAGAAGAGGGATGACGGTACACCTACGGTAAAGCTATGCGACTTTGATAGAGCAATCCCCCTTCGTTCTTACTTGCATTCATGCTGCATTGCACACACTGGAATACCTCCACCCGATGTTTGTGTTGGGACACCTCGTTGGATGTCTCCTGAGGTATTTCGAGCAATGCATGAGCGCAACATGTATGGATTGGTGAGTTTCTCCGTGATTTCTGGTTTTTTTATTGTATTACCAATACATTTTCTAGAGTGTCAATTCCATCTAATCCTATGATGACATTCTTCCTCGTGTTTCTGGTGTAGGAAGCTGATATCTGGTCATTTGGTTGCCTACTCTTGGAATTATTAACTCTTCAAGTTCCATATGCCGGATTGCCTGAATCCGATATTCATAGTTCTCTTCAGGTAAAGTTTCTTCTCCATCTTCAAATTTCACAGTTCTATCAAGTGTGGATTGTATGTTGAATCTTGAAAATATGCTTTTTACATGGTCTGAGAGGCGTTATATTTTGAAATAAACAGATGGGAAAACGGCCAAAATTAACAAAAGAGTTGGAGGCGATGGTGGAATCCATGGAAAAGTTGGAGGAATTGACGGCTTCTGATTCCGGGACTGATCTAGACGACGGGCCTCAAAGTGAGTCGGTTCTTTTAAGATTTCTTGTTTCTGTATATTATTGGTGTACAGAGAAGAATCCATGTGACCGCCCAACGGCTGAGAGCCTTCACAATGTCTTGTTAAACCGAGCTTGCTCAGTAATTAATAATAGCTCAAGAAGTAGTAGTAGTAGTAGTAGCAGTAGCCCAGAGGAATGATAGGTTGAGATTTTTAATGAAAGCATTAATTGGTTGCGAGTTCCAAATTTTTGTAGTCCTAGGGAGTTGCTGCATTAGACAATTTAGGACCAAATATTTGGGTAGTTCCCCCAATGAGTGCTGTAAAATATTATATTAATTAGTTTATTTAGGACTCTATTGAACTTGCCCTTGTTCTCAATCCATGCTTGACAGTTGAACCAAAATATGCACCTGGTTGGTTGCTCATTTCAAAGGAATAAAAATATTTTTACTTTCAATCTCTATTCTCTCAGAATTTCTAGTTTTGAATCTGATCGAGTCGAGCTTTGAATTTGCTTATTTTAATGTGATCTTTAAATCTACAAATTAAAAGATTAGTTTGTTGTGTGTCTTTTGGTGTATTTAGAAATTGTTAATTAAATTTCTGATAAAAAAAGATTATCTTGATATCATCTTTGGCACTTAAAGTTCCAAGTATTACACAATATGATATTTATTTTGACTAATGTTTCAAAAATGACATATTTAGTGCGTAGTGAATAGTGATTATGTGCAGTGGTTTTCTGGAAATTTTGATGGGGAGCATAGTTCAAGGATAAGGCTGCAAATTTAGTGCAAACTGCTTTTTGGGCTGTGTTGTTCCACTCAGTTCTTTTGGTTTATGTTGGGTTTGTTTATAAATTTCTTTTCTAGAGATTTTGAAAAAAAATCCTTTACTTTCTCCCTTTAAATACGGACTCGGTACACCATGCAAGGTGGATCTGAGTCTAAAATACACAATTTACATATTAGAATGTTTGCAATTTGAATTGTGACCATGGACTCGGGTTTACCATGCAAAGTGGACTCGAGTCCAAAATACACAATTTACATACTGAATGTTCCCAATTTGAATTGTGAACATTCAATATGTAAATTGTATATTTTTGGACTCAGGTTCACCTTGCAAAGTGGACCTGATCCACAGAATAATTTGCCTTTAAATACAAATTACACAGTTTTTTTGCCTTTTAGTGTTCATTGCAAGTTGAAGATCTAAAACACAAAATCCAATTTCATGTAAGCCTGGTAAGTTTAGATTTTTTGGCTTTTTGCATTGATCAACATGCATATTTCAAAACCTACTTCCGTAGTGATTTTTAATTTTTTTTTTTCTAGATCATTAATGGTTTATAGATTATTAATTTTCTTGTGACAAAGGTGGAACTGCCCACCCCAAGCGCCAGTTTATGGAGGGGTAAACCATGATAACTCAACTGATAACAGAGGTTAGATTTTTACTTACAAGGAATTATACTGTCGCTGGTGAGACTCGTTTTTGGTCTTTTGTGATAAATTTCACATTTGTGACCAATTGAGCTGCCATGCAAGTAGATTATTAATATTTTGAGGTTATTAATGGTAGATTATTAATTTTTTTACTCTTTCTGTTCTATTTTGTATTGGGTTATGTTAACGAGACTTGACTAAAGTTATTTATAATTTAATTTTTCATAATATTAAGTTTAGTATTAGTATGTAAAACTTATATATTTAGAAACTACATTAAAAGTAAAAGTACTATTAAACAAAACAAATCAAATTTAAAAATTATAAGAAAATACTAATAGAAATAAGCAAAGAAGAAAGAGTTAGTTTGACTAATGAATAATAAATAAGACAGATAAAATGAGACGGGGGACTAAGATTTTTGCATGGACCATCATGCATACATTTAAGACTAGTTTGGGTGTTAACTAACTAGCATCTAGGGACTAGGGTTAACTAAATCCGTAAACAAGGATTAACTTTGATACCAAGGACTTTCTGGTTCACTGGTATCAAGTTGCTCCCCTAGCAATTATGGTCCCCTTTCTTTATAATAAATAAATAATAATAAAAAAGGACTGATTTTGATTTACGAAAAAATTTGTAGTCGCTATCTGAATGTGTGGTTTGAGTGAAACTTACCTTGTAACCTTAGTCAACAATAAATGACAACGAGGTAAACCAATTTTAAGTTGTCTATATCTAATTAACTCAAATTGAGAAGGACAATAGATAATTCTCATTATAAGTCTAATTTAAAACTTTGTGGTTACCAAGTTGCACAACCAACTCGACATGGATCTAGGGATATGTGATTCGGGCCTTAATCATCCCGGCCTCAAGTCGAGATTGATCATAACGCAACCTTAAAACCAGTAGTTTAGATTAGATATTCCCTAAACAAGGAAGGTTCAATCGTAACTATCTCTATTTTTTACTTAATAGAAAATGGACTACAATAAGATAAAGTTTCCTATCAAGTTAGACTCATCATGGCGTGCTAAATATCTAAATATAGATGAAAAAATAAAAAAAATTATTATTTTTCTATTTTAAGGTCGATAGATAATAGATGTTGTTTTGTCACTTGGTCAGTATTATATGCCAACACAAATTATATTACTATAATTTTATATTTATATGTTTCGTCCGTACGTCGTATGCACTTTTTGAGTTTTGTCTTTGACCACTTTGTCACCCTTCACCACTCATCAATTGGTGGCCAATTTGAATTTGATTATTATTTTTTAAATAGGAAAGGGAGAAGAAAAGTATATATGTTTATTAGTGCATCACCTTTTGGTCCCATATTGAACCTGGACATGATATGGGTTGAAGTTCAATTTGGTTAACGATAAATGCAAATAATAAAAAAACTAAAATCAAGAGGCCACAATGCCACTTTTTCCATTTAAATTATATATATATATGCTGTGCATATTTGATTTCAACAATGGCAGCCGTAACACTATGTAAGGCTCCTAATATAAGCATTAGTAGCACTCATCATATCTACATATCCTTTTATTTTATTTTTATATACAATATTAATATTTACATTTTATACAATAAAATTAACTCAATCAAATTTTAACCAGATCATGGGGTGTTTGGTAAATATATGTATGCTGATTGGGTTAGTGAGTTTGACTAGTTGATATCATTAATTGATTGTAGAAAAGTGTTTGGTAAATTAGCGGTTAGCTGATAACATGCAAAATAAATTTCTCAAAAAATTGATAGAAAAAGGTACTTTGAACAACTTTTTGAATTTTAGCATTTTGAAACAATAAGTTGTTACAAAAATTAAAGCTAATTAATCAAATACTCATATTGATTGTTTAACCAAGTCAAACAGCTAATAGTGATCAAATAAGTCAAAATTGGCTGATAAGATAACTATATTACCAAACATTGCACATGCCTCATTTAGAGAATAACTTTCTCAATAGTATAGATTATTTATTCATTTTGACAAAATCTTAAATAATATTTTTGACAGATTAAAGATGATTCTCATAAAGAAAGCACTAAAGGCCACTTAAATTTAAAAGACATTTGATATGATTCGACAATAAAATCAATTAAATAGTGTGTGTGTATAATAGGTTCCTCTTTGTGAGAAATGAAAATAAATTTAGGCGGTTTATCTCAAAACAATATGGCACAAATGATCTATACTTAAATAAAAAGAATGGTGACATTTTTATAAATATGTAGAAGTTTTATTGCATCATCTTGGAAAAAATAAGAATGATTTTGGAGAAAAATAACATTGCTTTGGTTAAAAAAAAAAACAACATTAATTTGTGGAAAATCAACAACGCTTTGGTAAAAAAAACATTGCTTTGAAATTTCACAATTTTAAATACAAAAGGGAAATGACATTTTTGTAAACATGTAAAAAAAAATAAAAATTTATTCATCAATTTGAGATAAATCCACTTCATTTGTAAAGAAATTCATATTCAATTCTTTCAATCCAATCCACTAAACACGTCTTTCTAAGATTAGGAAGTCTAATACACTGTTTTGCGCAAATTATGCCGTTGAAGCATGATGAACAAACGACATCATTTTTATTGGAAAAAGAAATTAGTTAATGTACTGTTAACGGCGTTTTGCATTGAAAAATTCTATTTACACCACCTATTTAGTAGGTCAAATAGCTTTATAGGTGGTGTAAATGCAAATTTGCTATTTACACCACTAACATTAAATGTGGTCAAAGATTATTATTTGTTTTTAATTTTTTTAATTAAAAAAAAAAAAAAAACAAACAAACCTCCCTCCCTCCCGTCACCTTCTCCGCGGAGAATGCAACTGGGTTGCCTTCTCCGGTGAGAAGGCAGCCCAGTGAAGGAAAAAAAAAAATGAAAGAAATCATCGCCTTCTCCAGTGAGAAGGCTATGGACATGCCTTCTCACTGGAGAAGGCAACCCAGGGGTCGCCTTCTCATCGGAGAAGGCGACCCATGTAGCCTTCTCCGGTGAGAAGGCAGCCTAGTGGGTTGCCTTCTCACCAGAGAAGGCGGGACACTGGGCTGCCTTCTCACCGGAGAAGGCGGGATTCTTTTTTTTTTTTTTTTTTTTTTTGAATTAATTAATTATTATTTAAACATAATAAATGTGATTTAATTAAGGTGATGCAAATAGCATTTTGATCATTCATTAGGCTATTTACACCACCTATGTATTTATTATAAGTTTTTAACTTTTTATATTTTCAATGTACTTTTTACCCCATTTTAGTCAAAGAGGGGTGCAAATAGCAACACCCTTTGCATTCTATGTTCAGATTATGAATTTACATTTATTAAATTATGAATTTTCTGTTATGAGATTATAACTTTACAGTTATGTAATTATGAATTTTCTGTACATTCATAATCTCATAACAGAAAATTCATAATTTCATAACTGCACATTCATAAATCATGCCTGCACATTCATAATTTATGGGTGTTGAAGAAACTTGCGCGAAGAGAAAGTGAAACCGCAAAATGTGAATATAAAGAAGAAAAGTCGCGCTGTTAAAAAAAAAATAGAAGAAGAGAAAGAAAGATTGGTGGAAGACAACGGTTACCGTTTGGGACCGTGTTCACCATGGATGGTGAACACGGTTCCATGACATAACGATTGACTGTTTTGAGTAAATACATACAATGTCCTATCAAATTGTTACTTGTTTACGTAAATATCACCACCTTTTTAAAAGTCTATATATTCATTTCTTCATCTTTTTAAATGAAAAAATAATGAGATTTATTCTTATTTTTTGGATGAGCAATTATTTTTATATAATTTTTTTCTATACACTAGTAATTTCTACACATGATTCACGAACTTCTATCCTAACATTAGAACTTGATTTGAAAGGTAAATATATTATTAATTAAACAAGTTACGTAATTGGAGTAATATACTAATATTAGTCGACTAGTATCACCTTAAAATGTATTTTAATTTAT